AAGTATGTATCAGTATATCCCTTAATAAATGCAATACTCCTGAATGAAAATATTTTCTTTGAAAACAAGGTAAAATATCATGTTTTCATTTAATGGCAATTTCTTACTTTAACTCTATGTTTACCTGGGAAATACGAGTTCAATGTCATCTGTAACAGGGTCTCAGCTTTTGCATTGGTCATGTAATAAAAGAATTTAACCTGTCATTTGTTGAAGCTAATTGCTATTTTTGAAATAAAAATAAGGAGTTAACATCCTGTTGCTGTTTTTGTTTGTCAGTAATTGACCAGGAAGAGTTTCTCGTGAAGCAATTAAGCTAATGCCATAGTAATTATTTAAATTATAGACTGGTATCTAAGACTTACTGGGGAAAACTGATGGTCATGAAGACTTGTTGACTAATTAAGACCAACTATTCTATCCATCTTATAAAATCTTTCCCCAGAATAAGACAGGCAAGAACAATTGACATAGCACTTGACAAAATATAATATAATCTGGGTATTCAAGTCATTTAAAATATTGTTACTGGTTTTAATCTGTACATCAAAATGAAAGGCATTCTATAAGAAAGCCAAAGATAAAGCAAGATATATTCATATTTATTGTTTTTCCCCATGTGCAATTTACTAATAATTGAGTGAAAATTTTATTTTTTTAAATTAAAAAAAATTTAATGTTTATTTATTATTGAGAGACAGAGAGAGACAAAGCATGAACAGGGGAGGGGCAGAGAGAGAGACAGATACACAGAATCGAAGCAGGCTCCCAGCTCTAAGTTGTCAGCACAGAGCCCACGGGGCTCAAACCCACGAACTGTGAGATCATGACCTGAGCCGAAGTCAGACGCTTAACCAGCTGAGCCATCCAGGAGCCCCTGAAAATTTTATTTTTAAATTAATCTATTTCTTTTGAGAGAGAAAAAGAGAGAGGGTGCACACATATGTGAGTTGGGGGGAGGTGGGCAGAGAGAGAGGGAGAGAAAGAATCCCAAGCAGGCTCTGTGCTGTTAGTGTGAAGTTCTAGGCAGGATCAATCTTACGAACTGTCAGATCATGAACTGAGCTCAAATCAAGAGTCTGATGTTTAACCGACTGAGCCACCCAGGAGACTGTGAAAAATTAAAAAAAAACTTTTTTTACTGCTAATACCACTGTCTAATTATTGGTCCTAATGATCATATTCTTTACTCAACCATTGATATTTACTTCTCTTCTGGTCCCAGCCCTCACTTACCCAATTACAGTTCCTCCTAAATGGTAGCATTTCATACTTAGTAGCTCTCTCAGGTTTCTTTAATGTAAAAGTGTCTGTGAGTGTAAATATCAAAGTTAGCAATGAATTTACTGATTGGAAAATACTGTTGCAAACTTAAGGCAAATAAGGAAACAATAAATTGCCAAGAAATAGATATGATGATTTTCAAACTCAAAAACAGTGATAATCTAAATTAACCAGTTGATTTAGAGAAATATAGTCTTTTCCTCTCATTTAACATCACCGAAACTTCCAGGACCAAGAGCAAGGCAATTATTAAATTATAACAGTGATTCCTTTAGGATTTTAAAAGTTAATGGTTTAAAAAGAAAAGTTAAACCATCTTTATGTCAGAGTAAAATTCCACAGTTAAAAATCATCAATCCCAATAAAATTATAAAAGGTTAGATGTGAAACCTAAAATAGATTTAATCATATTTTTGATATGTGTCATTTTGAAAAAGTTGAAAACACTAACACAAATGTAGAATCAACATGTGCTAAATTTAGCTTATTAATTAGGGAAACAGGATGTTAAATCTGGGTCCAGTGGCAGAAATACCAGAAATTACTAGTACAGATCAAAAGACTTATTCTTTCCAGTATGCATAAAATATTTTCTAATTCACTTGGACTCAAAAATATACAAACAAACACCAAACAAATAATCCCCAAAGATTATTCTTGAAAACAAGAGAAGGCTGGTCTCATTTTATCTTGACATGTGGGTGTAGCATGAGGTGTTAATAACCACAAGAGCCTCCTTGCTGAGGTCAGCTCATCTGGAGGAAATTCTGTACAAATTTCATAAAGAATCTCAGATTGCATTTTCAATAACCTCTATTATTCCAGACATAGTTTTTGAATTGCTCTTATTGGCTGTTTTATTCTGAGACCAAGAAAGTAAATCTAAGAAATTCAACAAAGCTTACCAGTAGAGTCTATAAATTTGGACAGATTCTTCTCTCCCCAAAGTCCCTAAAATACAATGAGATTTCTGGGCTGCCACAGAGTGATGTTATTTATAGCGTGTAAGCTCTGGAACATGTATCAGACCAATTTTCTGGGGCTGTTTTATGGCCCTTGGTTTCACCTGTGAAGTAGAACCTTTATTTCTTCATGGTGGGCTTGTCGGAACTGATGAAGTGAGTTTATTCTCCTACAGTATGACACTACCAGGTATGGTCTTGGTTGCATAATCAATTTATCTAATTGTGTCTTGGTCAAAAGGAGGAAAGATTCTTATTGAACTGGTAAAGTTAATTATCATTGCCATAAAAAAAGCTACAAGACTCAGGAAAGTATTTGTTCCTGAATTGTGAAGCCTCAGGGAGGATGAATTAGCATTTAGAAAATTTTTTTTGTATATATTTCAATTTGCAAAAGCATAGTCTATTAAATTGAGGGCTAGGGAGAGACAAAAAATAGAAAAGAAAAAAGAAAAAGAAAAAAGTTTTCTTCATATACCCAATGAGAAAAAAAAAAGAACGCTAAAAATATTATCAAAATTAGATTTCCCTTTTATTTGAATACTAGAAATTAGGTCAACAGTCTGCTTTTGTGAGATATCCTCTTCAGAACTAAAAAAAATATTGATAATCCTGATTCAGTCTTTTAGTATCTGACAGTTGTCCAAGTAGTGACATTTTAAGATCCCTATCTTATACCCATAAGTCTATATCTTGAAATATCAATAGTTAAGAGTACATGGTATATAGTCTGTATTTGTTTTCTACTGCTATACAATGAATTATCCCAAGGAGAGCAGCTGAAAACAACTTCCACTTATTATTTTATAGTTCTGTCCATCAAAAGTCCTGGTAGGCTCAATTGGGTTCAATAGTCAGGTTCTCAGAATTCTGTGGTCAATGTTTGGCTGGGATGGGCTCTTAACTGGAGGCTCTAGGAAAGAACCCCACTTCCAATCTCATGTAGGCTGTTGACAGAATGTAGTTACATGCAGTGGTGGTTCCAAGGTCTTCTTGTTGGTTGTCAGCCAGGGACCACTGTCTGCTCCTAGAGGCTGCCTATGTTCCTTCTCACCTAGCCCTCTCCATCTTGAAATAGCAACCATGAGTTGAATCCTCCTTACATTTTAACTAACCCTGGCTTTCCCTTCCATTGCCAGCTAGAGAAATTTTTTTTTTTTTTTTTTTTTTTTTTTGCTTTTAGAAAGTACCTGCGGGGGCATTGGGGGGTGCTCAGTCGGTTAAGCATCCGACTTGGGCTCAGGTCATGATCTCACGGTTCGTGTGTTTGAGCCCCACATTGGGCTCTGTACGGACAGTACAGAACCTACTTCGGATTCTCTCTCTCTCTCTCTCTCTCTGCCCCTCCCCCACTTGTGCACACATGCTCTCTCTCAAAATAAATAAATAAACTTTAAAAAAAAAATAAAGAGCACCTATGGTTCCATTAGGGCCAACTAGATATTCTCCTTATTTTAGGTCAACTGATTAGCAACCTTACTTACCTCTGCAAAATCTCATTTGTGTTATAACATAACATAATCACATAGCTCACAGGTTGGGGAGGTAGCATTTTAGGATTCTGCCTAAAAAAAGCATTTTAGGATTCTGCCATGGAATCCTTTTCACAAGGCTCTGAGACACTCTTTTCTTCTAGCCTATAGTTTACAGCAGAGTCTTCAGAGAAGAAAGGGGGGAGGAGAAACTGCATGTTGATGATGTGACTGAATTTTGAGTTTATTATAATAACTAACAATATAAGAATTGAAAAGAGTAAAATCTTCTATTGGAGTGTCACTTATAACTGTTTCATATGGACTTGATCAATATTTCTCTTAAGAAGCATAAATGGATAATGTGGGAATCGACAATTCTACATAGAAATGTTCTGAGTGTTACAAATAAATTACTACTTCGTAATTTCAGACTCAATACTTCTTATCTACAAATGACATTTTCAGAGTAGTTGGAGTCATTGAAAAAATATTATTATGGGAGATATTACATGTTCCACATTGTTCTTAAACTTCTCTCTCAAACACACAGAAGATGCTGGGTTTGAACTCCAGCCTCTTTTCTGCAACCCCCCACAAAAGATGTTATAAGTGAAAAAAGCAGTTAAAGGTTTAGCTACACTCCATTTTCTTTTCCTTTGAGTTCTAACTATACTCTCAAATCAAATCATTATTTCCTTCCAAAAATCAACAAGGTAATAACAATATCTGTTGTAGAATAGCTTCTTTGTTAAAAAGAAAAATGTTGCCCCTCAAATCTCCTATTTTGTAGTCCTTTGTTCTCCTCTTGTTTGTGTCTCTCATTTTTAATTCACAATTGTATTATCCCTCCACATCATCCACAGAGCACAACATGCCCTACATAAGAATAGAACAAATACTGTTGTATTATTTCTTAGGCCTTTAAAAACGTTTGAAATGCTCATATTTATTGAGAGCCCACAGGTAAGAGGTTCTACAAAAAGATGTCATCTTTGTTTTCAAACATGATGCTATTTATTATTCTCAGTAGGACAGTCAATAGTAAATTATTAAACAGTGTTGATGAAATTACACAAATCCACCTACAGCTTTATACCTTATGTTTTTATGACTGCTGTCAAGAATTCACTGTGAAGTTAGAGATCACGAACAAAGTGATCCATGTGAGGTAGAATCTGTAGCCTAGTAAAAGAATATCCGGTATTGGATTTGATCATTGTCTTTCCCAGAAAAGTATATTCTAAGCCTTTTGCCTATGAGATTTCCTTTTCAGACTTACCCAATGTAAATATTAAAAGAAAAATTTGATATTCTATAATAATTCACTGTACCAGGGATTGGCAAACTTTTCTATAGAGACAGTGAACATTTTTTAGGCTTTTTTAGGCTTTACGAGTCATATAGTTTCTGCCACAGCTGCTACTTGATTCTGTTGTCCCATGAACACAGCTGTAGAAAATATGCAAACAAATTAGTGTAGCAGTGTTCCAAAAAAATCTTTATGAACACTACAATTTTAATTTCATGTAATTTTCACATCTCACATTACTTTTCTTTTGGTCTTTTTCAACCATTACAAAATATACAATCATTCTTAGCTTGTAGTTTGCTAAGCCCTGTATTGTATTATACATTAGTTAAATTCTAGTCTTTCTCAAGCTAGTATCTAGGAGTCATGGGGATAGCTGGTTTCATGGGACACTGCAGCCACAACCTCTCCTTAAGGTTGGTAAGAATAGGAAAAAGTTAGCATATTTTAGTAATTGCTATTTTTATATTTGTTTGTCACTCATTCCCAAATGTTGTTAATATCTACTATGTACAAATTACTCTCATAGGTATTTTGAGTGCCTGACATCAAGGGTTTGTATATATCAAAAAGGAATCACGGAAGTACAGATAAAGACAATACCAGACATAATTAACCAAGAGATTATCCAGCTAACAAAAAGGCAAGAGCTCATCTGATGGGGAAGATTTTTTAAGGAAGGCTATCTGATGGAGGTATAATTTTGATCTGGGCTTATAGGAGGGGTACAATACCAATATTAAATATTGCAAAAGGACATTATAATTATTTTTAGCTAATGAAGTTACATAAAAGCCCTGTGCACAAGTCCAAATCACCTCTCTTCTTAACAGATGATACTTACCCACTAATAATCTATGAACTCAAATACTAGAAAGCACAAAGAGAAATACTTTAGGCACTCTGAAGGCCCTGAAAGCTTTGTATATTTACAAAAATTACCAGTATTTACTAATTATTAAACTCAGAAAAATCCATCTACCTCTCCTTCGATTCAATCTGGTATCTAAACCAATGGATTTCCATTTTGTGTCTGTTTAATACTGCATAATACCGTGTTGTAATTTGTGCTATGAATTTAGTATATAAATAGTAGTAGCTATATGGAGATATTTGTACCAAACAACAAAAATAAACTAGGTGCTGTGTAAATAGATAAGACTTTCTTTTTTGCGTGTTGTTTATTTAATGTTCCTCTATGCATTAGAAGTAATCCATTAAATGCTCACAAAAAACAAACAGGGTATGATACATTTTTTCGCTGACTTACAGAAACATTTCAGAGATACTTAAACATTGAAGAGAACTTACCCCAAATTATTGTTACAACACATTTAACCCTAGAATTTACTTTAAAAATCCCTCTTTACACACATATTCTCAAGTTTTGCTTACATTTTTACCTGTATTTTTCTCTAAATTAGAGAAGCCAGTTAACCTTTGAAAAAAATCTGATCAAAACCAGTCACCCTCAGTTATGCAGTGGTTGGTAACAATATTAATTTCCTGTGAGTACTGCATTAGCTGCAAGCATGTTCTCATATAATGTATTTTCATTAACATAAAGTTTGAAATATTTTCTAATTGCCCTTGTGATTTCTCTTTTTACCCATGAACTATTTATGAATTTGTTAACTTCAAAATATTTATTATTTTCTCTAAATATCTTATTACTAATTTCTAGCTTTATTGCATTACAGTTAAAGAATATTCTCAATGATATTAGTTCTCTATACTGAGGTTTATTTCATAGCTACGTGTATTGTATGGTCTATATTGGTGAACATATCATGCAATTTTGGGTTATATTGGGCTATAAATGTCAGTTAGATCTTAATGATCTGTACTGTGTTGAACACATCATCTATTTCTTTACTTATTTTTTTTTTGCCTTGTTATTAGAATTAAATGGAATTCATCTCCCTTTATTTGTCCCAGTCAAGTTCTTATAGGCACAATGTAAAAAAAAAAAAAAAAAAAGGAAGAAAAGCAGTACAAGAAAGCAATAACCAGCTTTAGAAGGAGTTTAGAATAAAAAGGAAAAAAAAAGAATGATTCATATACTTGATGAAAAGTGGCATTTTGGTTTTGTGGTTTGGTTTTTTGGTAAAAAGCAGTCGGCTGCCGGAATGTTTCTTAACTAAAACAACTTCTATGATCAAAGACATCAAAGATAGCTATCTTTGTGTTCTCAGCCACAACACTCCGTCTACAGTCAGCCAAACTCTCATGTTGAAAGAAGACAGTTAAAAAAAGAAGGTGAAGATGGAAACATTTGCACAGAATCAGAGGATTGGGTACCAACTTCTGACTCTTTTTTTCTTTTTTTCAAGACTGAAGCAAACAGTGGTTGATCATTCCTGTCTCTACCCTGTCAAGAACAAGGCTTAATGGAAGGATGGCTGTATTATCCTCACCTTCGTGAGCTACCCCTGTGAGTACATGGCAGGAGGTTGTGGAAGCGATCTTGCTGCCCCATGTATCACTTTTAAATGATTCAGTCTCTTTCAAGTAGATGTTCAGTTTTTCAGATTCCTATCTCTGGAATGTGGTCTCTTGGCACACAGGGGTTTCTGTGAACTCATGGAGGAAAAGGATACCAGAGTTCCACATGTGCTATCTTTTGGATCACGCTGGACCTGCCGGATCCCTGTACTTGTTACCACTATGATGCAACTGATGCTTACTACATTTGAGTCATCCTCATACACTAACACCCTTTGTCCTGACCCTGGGCCAGCATATATTAGCCCCCTAGTTCCCTTAACACCTTCTAAGAGCTTCTGGCTAAGGAATATGCATGAGGGCAGGATCATTGTGTTGAGCTCATTTATCCCACCAACCCACTTCACCATTGCACCACATCGGTATGTCAGGAAGCTGGCTCTTACTAGAGGCCTTGGGATGTAGGGCACATGCTTCTGTGTTCTCAGGCTATCTTGTACTTATCTGAGTGTTTCTAATACTTTCTTCTTTCTGGAATTTTCTCCTTTGATGAGAGGAGATAAGGACACACAGATCTGACCTTCTTCCTCTGCCACTATCACTTTTTCTTACTCACTCCTCTAGGCTGAAAAGATGTTTTCTACTTCCCTTTCCTCTCTGCTAGCACTTCAATGTAGTCACAGCCTTTTTCTTCAAGGAACACTTAGCTTGTTCGTGTAGCTTTAATGGCAGGTGCTGTGTTTCTTTACTCAGTGGAAGAACGTGTAAGATCTGGGCATGTGTTCAAAATGCAAGCTGTGGCATCACCAGGATCTGAGGATGACTAAATGTAAAAATGCATTGGTGTATTATGTCAAAACAGTATTTCTATTACATATGTCTAAAAGTTTCAAGCATCTAAGGACTTATTTACTTTTTTTTCTTAACATTTATTTATTTTTGAGAGAAATATTATATATTTCTCTCAATATTATTATGGGTGGTTTTGATACCAAAACCAGATAAAGACACTACAAAAAAGAGAAAATTATAGGCCAATATTCCTGATGAAGACAGATGCAAAAATCTTCAACAAAATATTAGCAAACTGAATCCAACAATACATTAAGCAAAATCATTCATCACAATCAAATGGAATTTATTCCAAGGATTCAAAGGTGGTTCAGTAATCACAAATCAATCAACATGATATATTACATTAATAAGAGGGAGGATAAAAAGCATATGATCATTTCAATAGATGAAGAAAAAGCATTTAACAAAGTACAACATTCATTCATGATAAAAACTCTCAACATAGTAGGTTAAGAGGAAACATACCTCAACATAATAAAGATCATATATGAAAACCCACAGCTAACACGATATTCAAAGGTAAAAAAGTGAGAGTTTTTCCTCTAAGACCAGGAACAAGATAAGGATGTCCACTCTCACTACTTTTACTGAGCATAGTACTGGAAATCCTAGCCACAGCAATCAGATAAGAAAAGGAAATAAAGGCATCCAAATTAGTAAGGTGGAAGTAAATTTTTCACTATTTGCAGATGACATGATACTATATATAGAAAACCCTAAAAAATTGTATACAATGGAAAATCACATTCATTCCCATTTATGCATTCACTTATCAAATACTCAAAACTTAAGATTTGCAAGAAAATTGACCTTTCTTTAATTTACCTGGAAGGAAACCAATCACTAGTCAATTAGCGAGTCACCCCTGCACCATCTCACATTAGAGCAAAACACATGGACTTAAGCAACTCAAGACAATTAGAGGAGGGTCTGTCCTTGGTTTGCTTTGGATAATGATGTTCTGCTAGTTTCTTTCTGCTTAGGAAAATCTGATGAACTCAAATTTCAACTTGTAAATTTTTGCAACTTAAATATCCAATATATTAAATAATTTAAATTATTATTGATGGGATGTAAAATTGGGATAACTATTGGTGTAGATTTGGGAGTTACTAAAAACAGAGGGTAAGTGAAGCCATAAAGTGGTTGAGTTTCCTCAAAAAGTTTATATGAAACCCAAAATTATGGGTCCAGTATTAATTAGGACTGGACTCAGAGATGAGAAAAATAAAGTCAACAAAGATATTTTCATTCATTTAGAAGTAATTCTTTGTCTGCCTGCCAAATAAGGTTGAAGTCCTAAAAAGAAACCCTTAACCGAGAAATATATAGCAATGAAAATTTGTCAGAAATGACATACTCCTGAACTTTGTCTAACCACTTCTATGCATTAGTATAAGCAGGTAAAAAGGACAGCATCATTTTACTCTCCCCCAAAAAACCTGCTTTGGAAAGCTAGCGATTTCCCTTTGCTCTCTTGAGTATATGTGAAACTCTCAAGGCTGTGCCCTGAATATTCACTCAGTTATACATTTTAAAAATTATCATTTAGAAAATAAACCTGGCCTTTATATGATATATACATCCCATCCTTAAGTTCAAAGTTCTCCCTGAGTTTTCACATTTCATTCTTCAGTTTTCTAACCACAAATGCCCCCGTTAGATTGGGTCCATGTTATGTCTCAGATTGAGAACTCATTTCAATTACTACACATTAGGTCAAGCCGCTTGCTTCCACAGTCAGGAATGTTTTTGCATCTGCATTTTATCTATCCAAATGTACATCTGTTGAGGCCTCTTTAACAAAGCCTTCCACAAATTTCAGAACTTCTGGA